AAAACATCCATGTTCAAGAAGAAGGCAACGCAATTATCGGATGTACCGCCACAGGGAGAGGTGGATGCTAGACTACCTAGTCCAGCTATCTTGACTTGCAATGAGCCGCTCCCACTACGATTGCTTGTGAGAAAACTGAATGACAGTCCCGAGCAGGTTTTCTTGATGTCTTTACAGTTAAATCTCATTGGCTATACAGAGGTAAGAGCCATGGATGTCTCGAGGACAGAGACGAGTTCATGGGTACTAATGAGTTTGAATGGGCTTACATTACCGATTGGTAGTCCAACAGATGCTGTGAGGACAGAGAGTATCATTGATAGCAAGCTATGGGATCATATACCCTTGCCGAACACAGTAGCGCCATCTTTCCACACTTGCAACTTGACGCGGAAATACGAGCTAGAAGTCAGGGTTGGTTTGGGATATGGTGTCCCAGGAGAAGTCCAGGTAAGGTTCATTTCGCTTGTTTCAGTATGGCACTGATACTCTCAGCCTCAAACCATTACTTTACCCCTCCATTTCCAAGTCGACATCTTCTCTGGCATTCATCCACCAGCTGCCCTTCTAGATGCCATAGCGAACGCCCCTATGATCCCAACATCGACCCCTCCGACCATCCCAGCCAGGCCTCAAGATCCAGCATACCCCCCTCAACTCGGCACCCCTGGCGCGCTGTCTATCGATGATGTACCACCTAGTTACGAAGATGCTATGGCGGATGGTATGACACCTACTGATGGCCCGAGGAGAGAATTCAGTGGCGTCACAGACGTTAATGCCCCGGGTATGGATGAAAAAGGTGCGGCGCCAAAGTACAGTGCGCATCAGGGTAGTCCAGGACCTAGGGGTGGGGGCGTTGGCGGGAGTAGTACTTATAGTGCTGTTGTTTGATAGATCTGGAATTGTCATGGATGTTGAATTGGGGAGGAAAGCATCACTCCGCAGATGGTATCACTATCCGCATGGCTTTAGACTTACTCGATTAGAGGATTACGAATTAATGATAATCACCATACTTGGCGAAAGGTCCTTGTATCAGAGGTACCCCATCTGTATTCCTAGTGGTGTCTTCATCTTCGCTATCTTGTCACTAGTAACGATTTGGACCGGTGGCAAGCGCCTCTCTGTGAGAGACATCGATATTTTGTATAGAAAACAGAAGTAGCGCAGCTATCCGGGCTAGCCAGTCTATATCGGACTCAAGAGAAAGAGACTCCTTCGTAGACATCCGAGCCAGTACTAGCGCATGTCCCTGTCTTTCACAAGTCTCGAAATTTTGCAGTTATCTTCAGTTCTAAATCATCTTGTATGGTATACTCTGTTTTCTTGATTTGGGCCCTCGACCGGTACAAAATATCCGTCTCATTTTACAGAATATCTTAACTAGACTGCTGAAACAATACTCCCATTTCTTTATCCATCCATCTCCTGCCTATTATCCCAATCACCTCTCATAAATCCGCTCAGCCCACTCCCCTCTAGACACCCTCCTCGCATGCCTCCTCCCCTCCTCCCTCTCCCAGGAATTTCTTCTCCTCACCCTCTCCTTCTCCTTCTGCTCCGCTTCCCTCTTCCTCCCACCTCCAACAACCATACAAATATTATACGGCAAACAAGCCGCGTACATCACCGTCCAGACCAGAAACCAGAAGAATTTGTAGAAGAAGACAAAGAAGGCGAGGAAGATCGTCATGACTATGAAGCTGAGGAGAAGGATTATGCCGAGTGGTGGGAAGAGGAACGTGAGGGTTATGACGATGAGGAAGATGGGGAGGAAGATGCAGACGATGAGGAGGAGGAGGAGCATTTCGAAAAGCAGGGCGGGGCTTGGTATGAGTTGGGTCTTTTATCGTTGCTGTTGTTGAGTGAGATTAGGAATCATGGTCCACGGATTCTCTGCTTGCTTTTGGTGTTGAGACTGCCTCTCGAAAGGCTCCTTTGTGTGTATAGATCAGTTCTTGATAAAGGAATCGGGCAACTACTTTCTTTGATCACCTTTTCAAGGGACACCGTACCTTAGAAAGAGCTTTGAGATGTGTATGCCGCACTTGGTCGAAGGTTAGGAGTTTTAGGAGGTTTTTTACAACAGTGCTTGATCTGTGTTTCTACTTCAGCTTTCTCGGATTTGTGAATCTTCACTCGCCTTTAGAGGGGAAAAAAGCGGTGATGACAGATACGACGATAATGGGAACGATGTTGACAGAAATGAATATTTGATCGGGTCAATGCTACCAGTCTAACTTGCTCATCTTATAAAAGGGTCCTAATATCTTCAGTCTTGGCATGTGAGTCTCGGCACAGTCCTCTACAACGAAGTGATCTAGGAAACGTAGCGGTGAACTGATCCTACGCCTTCCACCAGGTTCATTTCATGAGAGAGCCAATGAAAGGTTGTGCTTACGCAGTGCCCGTTATATTTTTGGTAAGAATAAGTACGGATATCGTTATTATGAACTATACCTGGCAAGTCCTCACTTCACCGAAAAGGTATCTGTCTTGCCTCGCTGGGATCTATTGCCAGATCAATCCCTAGCCATAATCCATATTTGTGCTTCACCTGATCCTTCCCCCCTCGGCTTCCTGGAACCAACCATTTACCCACCGCCATCAAGACCCCTGCTCCCTCCTACTCTCTCTTCTCTCTCTAATCCTCGCATGTCGATCCTGTCTCTCTGCATGCGTCTCAATTCTCATCCTCCACCTCTTTCCTCGAGACACCTCATCACGTCTCCTTATTTCCTCCCTCGAAGCAAAGTTATCCCTTCCTAAAATATGTGCTGTCCTCGCAAGTGCAAGTGCATTCCACATATTCTGTACGGCGTATAGTGCGAAGGCAACACAAGTGATGAAGAAGGTGAAGTTGAGTATATGACTCAAGATTGACCAGAGGAGTGGGAAGTTGTAGACTGAGCAAGCGATGCCTAATAAAAGGCATGGAGCGAGAGGGCTAATGTGTGCCATTTGCGAAGGATCTACTGGTGATAATTCTTCGAACAGGAAACGGAAGCCGTGAAAATCTTTGTTAATGCGAGTATCAGGAGAACGGCTTCTCTTGAAACTGATAGAGGATGTACAATCATCCTCTCCTCGTGTTTTTGTCGCTTTCTGTAATCATTTCAGAGCCTAAATGCGAGGACTGTATGCATGCGGCACATTCCACAGAATTCTTTGATATAATCTCTGATGCTAAAACTGGACAAGCTAAAAAGCTCATTTGCACTCATCAAGAAATATCGATAGACGCCTTGTTCTATTTAATATAATTAACTTATTTAGATGAATTACATCAAGAACATTGGGAAGGAAGACGGAACAAGGCGCCAAGACGCTAGATAATATAGATAATAGAAGCGAGTTTCCGGTATTCATAATCACGTCGCAAGTGAACGTCTAAGCAACGTTATCTATGTTCAAGACAATACTCAAAATTACATAGATAGCTATATATGAGTGAGGATGTGCCAGTCTCTGCCAGTCTCTGGCCCGTTGAGACCAATGAGAAAGGCTAATTCCTCAAGCACGCTAAATCGATATCTCTCAGGACTTCCTTCACGCATCCATCACCTCAAACTATCAGACGATGTAAGGAAGCTTGCGCTCGTTTGACATCTGACTAAATAACTAGAATTCTCCCTCTCTGATGATAATATACCGATTTTTTATAGCTCAGTACCGCGTTTGAACTAAGCCCCAAAGCTGGATGACTCCATGTCTGATGAAACATTATATAAAGGCAAATAAGTCATGCTGATTATTGGATCAGATGTAATACGATTCCAGAGCAAAGATGTGAACGAGATGGATGATTGTTCTTTTAAGGGCCACAAGAAAATTCTTCAACTGCCCTGGGCCTAGTGGATAGATCTTTCGCAGTAGTACAAGAGGTAGAGGGCTCCCGGGTGTCTCTATCGTCGATTGGATATGTATTATCATCCAGTCTGTCAGACTAGGGATATAGTTCGAGGGTCGCCGATACTCGTATGCGACCTCGCTTCTCTTACTGAACGCGGTTCCAAGCTCTCTTATTCCAGGTTTCAAAACGCAAGTGTTTTTTTACCTTGAAGATCCATCATTTCTTCATCAACGATTAAACATATGAGCAAAAAGCAAAATACATACAACAGCAGGTATTCGCTGGTGGTCACCCACCCAACTACTGATCTGCCGATCTCCTGTTTGTGTATGGCAGAGCGGACGGGATGCCCAATTGTCAAGAGTCTATGGTCGTATGTGACGACCCCATGACAATCTGGAATTCTATATCCTTTGACATGAGATATAATACAGAAGTAACACAGACTTCATAGTAGAGTTACTTAAATCTGGCTCTAATATATGCTGGCTCATGACTTTAATCAGTTTGAGTTATGGAATGAAGTATTAAATCTCGCTAGTTAGTTGGAATCATAAAGTGAGAAAATCCTGGAGTGAACATCAAAGGTTATATCTCTGCAGTCTGAAAGTCATGTAACCTAGTGGTAAGAAGGACCTTTATATACTTTGGGAGTCATATCGAAGTTAACGTCAGTTGCCATCATCTTGATTCGTATGCGGAGTAGCTTTTGCCATTCTTACTCACCAAATGAACCTTCACATTTAATTGACAATATCCATTTGTTTAAGGCTTAAAGATAAGTTTTTATCTCGAACTACTACAAAGTTCAAAAAGAATATCTAGATGATGGAAGAAAAAAAGCGCAGAGCTCGTTAATATTATCTGTTAGTCGAATTCGACCGTAACACAGGTTGTGGCGAAGTGCAAAATTCCCGAAAAAAAATTTCAAATCAAGAGAGGCTGGCTAAAGGGCTAGCAGAGAAAATGGTACGCTCTTCGTGACAATTTATTTCTTCTTGCTTTCGGAAAATAAGAGAAAGAAAAAGCAAAGGAATCTCATACAATGGATGGGACAACGCTAGCCGAAAAACTGCAAATAGCCTTGTGCTAGTCTCATTCTCTTCGCATAACGACTCTAAAGTTGGCGAAGCTAAAAAAGCTATGAACACGAGGGGATTCGAACCCCTGCGGGCAAAGCCCATGAGAATAGATTCAGCGTTTAGCCGACAAGACAATATCTTGAGTCACACGCCATAACCACTCGGCCACATGTCCAATGTTGCTGGAAGGGGAAGGGCTTATTTAACAATATATTCAAATCAAACTGTCTTACGCCTGACAAAATTTGAGATTATAGTGCGCAGTGGATCTGCTGCGGTAGGCACTTGCTACGGGCTCCATATTATCCGCTACTTAACCCCACACCAAATCAGTCACGTTTCTTGGTGCTATCGCAATCGCAATGCGATCGGCTTTTGAACTTGTATGTTGCTCTTGTAGGAAACACCTTCTGAATTTTTGGTTGAAGACATCTGTGACTATGAACACGCTATTCCAGTACCGAGTATCCGTTACTGTCGCCCATTTGTTATGGCTGCTAAATCCCTGAAGAGGAACAATAGCAGAATAATCATCCACTTCGTACCTACAACGCCTTCTGGAACATACAGCATTCAGCTAACACCATCTAGGATTATGACTGCTTCTATGCTTCGGTCTTTGAGAATGAAAATCCCGCATTGAAGTCCGTGCCTCTGGCAGTGCAACAGAAACAGATCATCGTTACTTGTAATTACGAGGCCAGACGGCGTGGTTTGCGAAAGCTCCAACTGGTCACCGAGGCGAAGACTGTGTGCCCTGAAGTTGTCATCGTCCTAGGAGAAGAACTCGGCAGATTTCGCGATGCATCCAAGATGCTGTATAAGTTCCTGGAGACTTTCACATGGTGTGGCAAAGTAGAAAGGCTAGGATTCGATGAGGTCTTCATGGATGTTACCGATATCTGCGATTTCAACCAGTCACTCCTCAATCAGAACGACCTAGCACACTCATTTTTCCAGCTCAAACGAGATGATCCAACATCAGGCTTTGCTTTCGATGCTACGGAAATTGCTGGTCATGGATTTCCTGAGATACTAGAAACAGAAGACCCAAATTACGATACCAACGACAATCTCACGGCAAGACTCGTTCTTGGATCACATCTGGCACAACACTTGAGGTGGCAGATGGAGGAGAAGAAGGGCTACACTTCGACCGTGGGAATATCTACCAATAAACTGTTATCCAAGCTTGTTGGTAATTTGAACAAACCCAAGGGGCAAACGACTCTCCTGCCTCCATATGCTGTTCCGGAAGGCTCCGAAGGTACCGAGGAAAGTAATGTCACGAGATTTATTGATGGGTTTGATATTGGGAAGATTCCTGGAATTGGATTCAAGATGTCACAGCTGATTCGGAACCTTGTGCTGTCACGTCCGGCGGACTTCGACACTGGCTTGATATATGGTGAAAGCAAAGAGTCGGTAACCGTTCGAGATGTCCGACTATCTCCTGGGATGGGACCTGAGCTACTGGAGAAAATCCTTGGTGGCCCTGGAGCCCAGCGAGGAATTGGTGGTAAAACCTGGGGATTGATCAACGGTATTGACGACACTGATGTTCAAAAAGCAAAGAGCGTCCCAACTCAGATATCGATTGAAGACTCATACATCCGGCTGGACACGCTTCCAGAAGTTTCGAAAGAATTGAGAATTCTTGCTACAAGTTTACTGAAGAGGATGCATACAGATCTACTAGAGGAGGATCCTGAATTGAATACTCAACGATGGATAGCTCATCCTAAGACCATCCGTATAATGACACGCCCCCGACCTCCTCTCAACCCAGATGGTACAAGAACCAGAAGCTTCAACCGCCTATCACGATCCGGGCCTGTTCCATGTGGTATTTTCATTCTCAAAGATAGTATTGATGCTGTGGTCGAGAAGCTTGTCCAGGAGACATTGATACCGATGTTTCGAAAGCTCCACCCATACCCATCAGGTTGGAATCTCAGCCTCATCAATCTTGGGGTCACAAACATGGTTGAAGCTGCAAGCGAAACCGGTAGAGGTGGCGGACGTGACATTTCGCGAATGTTCGAGAAACAGGAAGAGGTTCTAAAACAATGGAAGGTCGAAGACCGTGACGTGCCACCAGATACCAAGCCTGAGAGGAAGTCTGTGTCTCTTGATGACGTCCAAGCAGATCCAAGCGCTGGATATGAAGTTTGGCCCAGTAACACTGGCTCAGAGGATACGATTCCTACAACGCAGAATACGAATGACGATTTTGGAGTATGGGAAGAAGACGAGCAAGAGGATGAGGATAGGGAGCAGTGCATGGTCTGCGGCGCTATCATGCCTGGTTTTGCAATGGCTGCGCATGAGCGATTTCATGTTTTGGAGGGATGAGGTCATTTTTGAAAAAATAAAAAATTGATTTCATGTCTAAATTTCTAGGAATGAACTTCCGACTACGAAGTCTGAATCTTGGTTGTTCACACCACACCGGCTGGCCGAGTTCTACTCGGCTTGCAGATTATGTGAAATGTAGAGGCATGTGAAATGTAGAGGCATCAGTTCTCTTACTTTTCTTTGGCCCGACTCTATGCAATCATGCTAAGAAGCAAGTGCTTGATGAACTCTTCTCTTCGTAATCTCCTCTCTTAGCAGTCTTTTTCTCGCTTGTGACGCTACGCGAAATGACAGAACAACAATCAGTTCCTCTATTCCTAGGTGTGAGGCTACGGACACTATTACAAGCGAGCGAGCCTACAGAAGGTTGATATTTACAGACTCCTCTGGCCTAAAACGCTGTCAATAGGTAAAATAGTACGCAATAAACAAGGCAGGGCCAAATACATCTCCAGTGAAGTGTGAACTCGGACGCTGGTTCAATGTCATAAAGTCACCTCTAGACATATACCAAAATGATGTTTCAGAGTCACCAGAACAGAACAGAACATTACTATTCATTATCTCTTCCGGAGTCCTGGAACCATTTTTCATAGGACTTCATTCACTAGGTAAGCCATGAAACGCAAGATTGCGCCAAGTATCCAATCCTCGGGGAATAGCAGATTCAAAGGACTCGATATAGATAGGTCAGTGGAGGACTTGGCTGCCTTGACTGCCCCAGCAAGTTTCGTCACCACCCAATTTATCCGCGTCCTTCCGATACAGTAGGTAGTAAACAGCTTAGGCGAATTGCTGGGACCCCCTATTCAGCTGCCTGGCCAATAGTGAAGAGTAGAGAGGTGGTGGTGGTGGTGTGTCCCGCCCAGTGCTCTTTGACATGTGAAGATCAGGCTGAGATTTTTTAGAATTCCGGGTGGACAGTTAGTTGATGAGTGATTCGCTTCCGAATGGTGGGAAATATGCCTATTAAGTTGATGGAAAGCAAAGAGCAGTGAGGCATTGTTTATGTGGTAACGTAATTCGATGATTTCAAATATGGTATAGAATAACAAACTGCCTAGCTATGACTGACTGCTAGCACCCGCCAGAACAACCTCCCAAACCTCATCCCACATAATCCATGGATAATGCCCTGTGTATCATAAAAGCAACCAGCCTTTCCCTCCGCCCAAAATCAATGCTATACTCCAAACGCCGATCCATTTTCACCTGTCCGTTGTTGTTTCATTTACCTTCCAGTTGATCAACCCTCCTTTGAAGCTCCTCGTTACCTTTGATCAAGTCCTCTAACCAGTCTGCTGCCATAACAAGGACTGCGCTTTTACTAAATCCACCACCCCTCAAACCAGGCACTAGCTCGCCTATCTCCTCAAAGCCTTCTCGGATTAGAGTCCTTCGCTTCTGCTCACTCTTGATATGATTCTCTCGTTTCTGGTCCTCAGTAAGGTTCTCTCTTGCTTTAGCCGCAGCTGCAGCATTCGATTTACGTCTCTTTTCCGATTCATGAGCTGGTATTTCAATCGCGGCCTTCTTCCCCGATTTTCGTTTCTTGGCAGACTTGGCGGTTCCTGAACTTGAATCCTCTTCCTCAGCATCTTCTTGAACTTTACTCTTCCCCCGTTTCTTGGGTCGCGAGTTCTGTTCATCCCCTTTGATCTCGCTGGCGATGGGTATGGCATTCGGGCGAAGTATTGATTTGATTAATGTGGGACTGGGCGGTTGTGTAGTATCCGCACTACTTGGCCCATTGAGCGCCAGAGCATTCTCTACAACTTTCTTGTAGGCACTTCCTGTAGCATGATGAATGTCTTGACTGGGCGCGACCAGGAAGCCTTGACTGAATCCGGCATCCGAACCCCAATGTATATCAGCTTTTCGATTGCCTACTCGTCGCATTGAGCCCTCCGGTTGCCCTCCGAATACCATATCCGTAAAGAAAGGTTCATGCATGTCATGTTCTGGTCGTTGACTGAAGCCTGCCTGTGTCCGAGGATGTGGTATTGACATGGACTGAGCTCTGAAATGGCCATTTATAGCATGCAAATCCTGCGCCCCGAAGAGTCCGTTACTCGCACTCTGTGAACGGGCAGCCCCGTTTTGGAGTACGGATGCCGCTGCCAAAACATCTGCTGATGTCGATGGTGGTATTGACGAACCGGCATTAATATGTGACATATCCCCAAACTGTGCTTGTAATAATTCATGAGATCCCATTTGGGGTTGTGGACCGAAAGAAGAAGTTGTTCCCATGAAAACTGGCGGTAATTCTTCCCATCCATGCCCCAGTTCAGATCCATCGGCTGGGTTATCGAAGAAACTATAATCGTAGTGCTCTGAGCTGACTCCATCGAAGAAGTTGGTCAATAACCGAGATTCATCGTCGTCGAGCAGAGAAGGTCCAGGGGCGGGGTCTGTTGGAGAAGGGAAAGGGAAGGTCGAGTTGTTGTCAAATGAATCTGCAACGTGATCAGCAGGTGCCAGATGATTCATACACAGGGTACGTACAGCCAAAAGGCATATCGAGGTTCGGTGGTTTTGACGAACCCATACTATGACGCTGAACCGCGAGCATGAGTGCCGCCGCGGTGACTTGAGGGAGGCGGAAGAAGGCGAGGAAGTAGTGTTTGTATTCGGATCCTTTACTCGTCAAGTGTCACCCCGGATCTCACCCTCGTGAGCCTCGTATCCTTTCTGTGACTTCGCCGAAGTTTTGAACATCGACCACGGTACAAAGGAGCAACACCAAAGGTGTATACCGATCCACTTCGACTTTCCTGGGTCTTGTAGAGCTGTGGCGGGGTATCTGGCAGACGT